ATCCCAATGTTCTAGGTTTACAGAAAGCATTAACATGCAGATAGGTAGAATATTGATACTTAGTCTATTTATTGGTGTTCATTTCCGAACCAAGCTATCTCTTCGGTTTACGTCATTGATTGCCTAGATCAACGCAATTAAAGACTTAGCATCTATCCGTCATAATGAAAATGAACTCTTTAGACCAGGGGAAGGAAAAGAACACAGCACAGCTTCATGTTGGGAATGCGGGTTTTTGTGGGGTGATGACTTTACAAAGAGGACTGAACCCCGGAGATGGAACACACGGAAGAGTTTAGGGACACTGAAGGATGGGAGAAGTGTTTACAGTCCATCTGAAACAAGACATCACAACTGTATGGTCATTAAAAATGGTGGTGCCATGGCCAGTCTCCTGAGTCTCTCCCCCGGAGGGTGGGACTCAGCGGAGACTAGAGGGTTGCTGCAGTTGGAACAACTCGGTGGCCGTGAGGGCAGATGACTTCCCCAGTCGTTGCAGTGCTGTTCACAGTAGCCACGTGTCCATACACAGAGGCCGAGACACCACACAGCAGTATGTCTGTATGAAAGCGGAGCATGATACAGCCATAAAGAGAAAGGACGTTCTGACACACGCTGTCACAGGGACGGACTTTGAAGACAGTGATGAATGAAATAAGTTATACACTGGAGGACAAACACTGTGATCCCACTCGTATGAAGTAACCACCCACCGAAAGCACTGCCCTTGAGTCCATGTGGACTCACAGCGACACTGTGGGACAGGGGGAGCTGCCCCGTGGGCTTCCAAGACTAGATTTGGATGGAGTAGAAAGCCTCCCTTGGCACAATATGACAGCCCAGAGTGTAATCCCCTGCAAAGGAGGGACCACAAAGCCTATTGCTGATTACCAGAGGATGGGGAGGAAGAAAAGGGAAGTGTTTCGCATCAGGATTACTAAGAGTTTTTTTGTGTGGGTGGGTGTGGTTTTTTTAAATCAATTCTTGGCATGTAATTCACACATCATACCATTTAATTGTTCAAACATATGAAGAAGAGTTATTCAATCATCATCACATCCATTTCAGAATATTTTCTTCTTTCTAGTGCTTACTGTTGTTGGTCCCTACCACCCCACTTCTCCCGTGCTAGGGCCCTAGGTAATTATCAATCCATTTGCTGGGTTTCATACACAGAAGAGCATGTACAACACAAGAAGCAAACCACAGAAATCAACAATGACAAAACAAAACAGAGGAAGACCTCAGTAGAAAGCAGTAAATATCAGAAAACGATTCTAAAATGGGTCAAGGGGGGATAAAGGGTTACATGTTGACCTAGCTACTCTGCCGTCATCTGCTTCACAGTGTTCTCTGTCTGAGTGTGAGGCTACTCACAGCCCTGGACTTTGATCAGAGGGGATTCACTGGAGGCTTAATCCACGTGAGGACCCTGCCATGCTTCCGCTGCCGTGCATAGCCCTCTGTAAGAAGGTGTTCAGACTTATGCTCTGATCCTGTTCCCTTCTTCACATTTGGATTTTATCATCTACAGTCCTTGGGTCATACAACCTGGTGTGCTTCTGCCATGTGGAGCTAGTTGACACCTCACTTAGATGGCTGTTTGCTTTAAGACAAGCCTTTCAGACCCCAGACCAGTGGTTCTCAGCCTTCCTAATGCCACGGCCCTTTAATACAGTTCCTCATGTTCTGGTGACCCTTACCACATAACATTATTTTTGTTGCTGCTTCATAATTGTAATTTTGCTATTGTTATGAATCGGGCAACTCCTGTGAAAGGGTCACGACCCACAGGTTGAGAACCGCTGTCTCAGGCGCTATTCTTTTCTGATAGCTGAGCACCATCTCTTGGAAAAATTTCATTATCTTTTCATTCCATTTTTCCATTCGCTTTTGAAGAACCAGCATATATGTATTGATTGGGAACGTGTTCATGATAAGTTAAGGAAGCAGCAAGTTTGAAAGTTATTTTGTACAAGTGTAATACCATTCTTCTGTTTAAACCTGGGACCATATCTCCCATCTCTTCCTGTAGTGCTTGGTGTAGTTATGTAGATGAAAGATATGCTAAATAAATGTTTGTTAAAATAACAAGGGCTGATAAAGAACCTTGGGACAGTGATGACAATGCTTAAAGTAGGTACAATTTCCCTTCTTTGATGATCTGACCACCTTTCTTTCATGTAACAAAAATAAAATTTGGTTACATACCCAATTTTTTGTTATTTCCATGTCAAGACAGTGTGAATAAAATATTTTGCATTGTCTTCCAGAGTTATTGTGACATGCTTTTAGAGTATATCTAAGTCACGTGCCTAGCTGGAAAGTGTTTTTATACCCTAAAATGGAATTTATGATTATGGCTCAATGAAATTGTTTACTATGTTGGAAGAGAACATAAAAATAACAGATTGAGAAATCAATTTTAAAACTTCAAAGTTAATCTTATTTTTTTCTTTTCTCTATAGGGCTTCTTCCACTAGAAGCAAGATGGCTGAACTCAACACACACGTAAATATCAAGGAGAAGGTAAGATCACACTGGACGCTGGCTCACGGAAACTGCAGACTGGGGACTGCAGCCACTAAAACCCTGTTATCATTCAGAAGAAATGGTTTGGGGGACTGTCTAGTAAGTGTGCTGCATTAGAAAACCACTCGGCTGCTTCATTTACTTCATGTGTTACATTCATTTTCTCAGTCAGTTTTGACCATAACCCTCCCGGACTAGAGCGCCTATTGTTAGCCCCATTTTACAGAGGAGGGAACAGAGAAACAGAGAAGATAAGTAATTTGCTTAAATCCGCAGAGCTAGTAACTGAGGAACCAGCATCCTCTTACCCGCCAGGCTGGGTTGCATCTGAGCGGTGGGGTATTGTTACCTCTCCAGAAATGGCTTCACATCGAGATGTATCTGTTACAGCGTCTGATGGGCATGCTGGGTAGCCTTTGACAGTTTCTTTCCACCCTGAGAGGAGACACTCGGAAAACTCCTGCATCCAATCATTTGTCAGAGGTTGGTTGCACTGCACAGCCCATCCAAGACGTGCTCTCCTCTGGGAAGCTCCCTGCGCCGCGGTCATTCTCTCACTTCCCATGTGTTCCACCTTGCACTGTTAGTGCTTAATGGCCAGGGGCCACAGACCATCTGAGACCGTGGAGTAAATGTATCCACCTGGTTGATTGGGCGCCGGAAGAACTCGGGCCCTAACTGTGCCCATGGCCCTACAGCCACAGTGAAAGGACCCAGAGAGGATGCAGGTCAACGTGGTGCTTAGCACCCCCCCACCCCCTGCCCCACAAGCCTCCACTGGACAGTCAACTTCTGGAGACCCCATGGTGCCTCAAATTGGTTTTAAAGGGAGAGAAAATGATGTCTGAGGAGTCCTTACTGTTTATGAATTCCTTTAACAAAGATTTATTGGACCCTTACTTTGTAGAGTGACAGCAAAAACGAGGAAGGCCCTCAAGGAGATGGGTGGACCCCGTGGCTGCAACAATGGGGTCCACGTAGGGCCAGTTGTGAGGACGGCGCAGGACTGGGCGGTGTTTCACTCTGTTGTGCAGAGTGTCACTGTGGGTCGGAACCTACTTGATGGCACCTGGTGGTAGAGCGGTTAAGCATTGGGCTTTGATCCGCATGGTCGACGGTGTGTAACCACCAGCATTTCCCCGCGAGAAAGTGGACTTTCTACTCCCATAAACAGTTATAGTTTCTGAAACCCACAGAGGGTTGCTATGCGTCAGCATTGCCTCGAGACGGCTATGAGTTGGCTTGTATATGTTTGTGTTTTAATAACAACAACTTTGTGCCACATATACAGTAGCTGTTTATGCCCAGGGAGTCCTGGTTCATTGTTCGGCTACTAACTGATGAGTTGGCAGCTCAAACGGCCCCAGCTCCTCCGTAGGGGAGAGGCCTTGCCCTCTGCTCCCACAGATTCCAGCCGAGAAAACCCTGTGGGGCGGTTGACTCCGGCACTTGGGTCGTCGTTAGGAGTCCAAATCCACTCCATGGCACCCAGCCACTCCTGTGTCAAACACTGCTCTCGACGCTGTGGCTACACCCTACGCCCACCCTAGCTCGCTCTCTCGGCCCAGGAAACAGTAAACCCAAGACACGTGCATGAGCACTACCGTGTCACACAGTGCTAACTACTAAGGGTGCAGGGAGGATGCAGGGAAAGAGTGAGGCAGAGGAGGCCAGTGGCTCCGCTAGACTGAGTGGTCAGAGAGCCCGAGCAGATCGCTCAGGTGGACTCCGGGTGTGAAACTCGATGGTCTGTGTGATCAGAATGAGGCCAGCAGAGGGCATAGTGATGGTGAGAAGAGATCAGAGTGTAACCAGAGCCCGTGTCAGTAGACTGGTCTCTTCACCTGGGGTCCAGGGACCTCCAAAGGATCTGTGGTAGAATTCAGAGGTCCGTGAACTTGGGCGGGCACAGAGGGGACAACATCTTTATCTTCACTACCATCTAGATGGAATTTAGCATTTCCTCCCACCATGAATATAGGCACAAAACAAACAAAACTCAGTAGCAGCTCTTTCCACTCTGCCACTGCTTCTCTGAGAGCTGACCCAAAGGCCCAGGGGGCCAAGAAAAACCACGTGTCTACCCCATGCGTCTGGGCCACCTTCAGACCCATTGCACCCCAAGCCTCTTTGGAATCATATGTATTAGTTAAAATGTTGGTGCAAAGTCTCCCTCCATTGTCTCTCATGGTATATCCCATAGATCATGGTACTATGAAAGCATCTTAACTTAGTGATCATTGAGGGGGAGAAATAAGTAACAGAAAGATGTAACCCATTTAACTTACGGCTTCCTATTCTCCCTAGCCCTACATTCGAGGTCAGAATACATGTTCCCTGGTGTGAGAATGTGGGGTGGGCACTCCAGTAATGACCGGAGACTGGCCCCTCTCCGAATGCCTGCTGCTGAGTGGATTTGAGGCGCTTCTCCACTGAGGTGCACCCAGAAAAGCACGTCCATGCGCCCGAGTCATGGTAACAGAGTCCTGCAAAAGAGCCAACTTGTGAACCAACCAATATGGTAGGCTCAGCAGTCAACAATAGGGTGTCATTCAAAGCAGTCTCTTGTGCGTGGCATTGAGCCAGGAAGGGGAAGGAGGCTGCTCCGCCAGCACACGGACCATAGAGGGTGCGGTGTGAACACTGCAGCCTTTGGCTTAGGCGCCACATCCATCGACTTGTCGTGAGTAATGTCACGGGGGCATATGAAGATTAACAGTAGGTAGTGTTTTGCCTTTGCACTTCAGTAACGTATCAAAATGTTGGCATTACTTTGAAAGAGGGTGATACTTAAGCGGTAAATATTATCAATCTGCATGACAATGAAAGTCGAACTCCTCCAACTCAATTAGTGAATTCCATCTACCGATGTCAAAAGGTTAATAGATTTCTCAACTCAATAAGATAAATCATAATAAACAGCTGAGAATTCTGATCATTTACAATTTTACATTGATGTATTTCAGCGCATTTATTTTCTTTACTTATTAGCTTTTATGGCCTTTTTTATGATTAGTTTGGTTCGCAATCTGTCACCCAAAGCAATGACATTTTAGTTTTGAAAATTAAGAATAATATCAACTGTTGTGGCTTAAATGATAAGCTTGTAGAATTCAGAGGCTAGATCTTGGTAGGGTTTTTATACAATATCTTGGCAAGCACTGGGGAATGAAATACTTCATCAGTGCTTTGCGTTGAAATTAGGTCGGCATTTATCTTTCTCTGTTGGCTGGACGAGTCGGAATAGGTGCTTGGAGTGAGACCGTCATTTCTGTCCTCGTGTGGCTTCTAGTCTAACTGAGGGGTTGAGAAATCACATATTTAACAACCAAGGCAATCGAAAGGTAAAATGTATATTCCTTTTGACTATGTTATTGGAAAAGTATTTTTATTTTGGTGGACAACAATAGTAAAGATTGAAATTGGGATTATTGATGGGGTTGAAGTCCGAGCCCTTTCATGTGACATAGTACTCCACATGATTTGGCCCATCTCCTGCCACATACCCTCCTCTATCCAGCTAGCTGACCACGCACCTTTCTGCCTCTGTGGCTCCACAAAGATGCTTCTTCCCACCTGGGATGTTCTTCTGAAGGACTCAATGCCCACTTGACTGCCTCTTAAGAACCCTTTCCAACATCTCCTTTGTCTTCCACCTCTCCTGAATCATCTGCCCTATTTCTACTCTTCTTTATCCTTCCCTGGGTTCTGTGAATTCTCCATCACAGCTTGTATTTCCCGTGGGGTAATTGTTAGTGCCTCTCTCCTTCCATGAAGCTATGTGCCTGATTGGGGCAGGCACGAGGTCTTACCATCTTCCTATTCCTGGGTTGGAGACAGAATTAACTCCCATTTAAAAACAAAAACATAACAAAAGTCGTTTCCATCAGGTGGATTCTGATCCATGGCTACCCCGCGGTTTACCGCACTTCTCAGGGCTCTCAATAGCTCCAGCCGACTGGAAGCAGATCACTGGCCTGTCTTCTGGCATGGGTCTAAGAGCGACTGCTGCCTCTGCAGTTAGTCGTCAAGCACGCGGAGCCAGCTGCTCCACCTGGAACTCCCCACCATCGATGAAGAACTCGGTAAATGAACGGAGAGGTGAAGAGACAAGCCAGGAGTGAGCATGCCTGCTGGAATCTAGTTCACGACTTCCTTCAGTGACTGCATGTCCCATTCCTGACGTTTGCACTGATCTCAAACCTTCCTGGAAAGTGAAATGTAGGTTCGTGGAAATGGCATCTCGTTTTAGTACTTGTTTTGCTGTTGAATAAAGAAAAATTTGAATTGCTTTTAAAAACAGCAGCCTGCTTAGGTTGGCCACCTGTGGTATTGCAAAAGCACGGCATCTTGGAGAGCTGATTGCCAAATACAGATGGTCTTCAATAGGTTTCATTACAAAACGAGGCACTAGTCATAGCTTTCCCACTCCTCAAAAAAAAAAAAAAAAATCCCCAAGTCACACTTGGTTAAGGAGAGATCCCAGACCAAATTTTCGGGCTCATCAAGGGTCTTCTATTTGTAGTATACTCTCTCTTACAGCTCCTTCTGAAACGATGAGATTTAACACTAGAACGTCCTAGGATGAGGAGTTAAGCGAGCTGTCTCCATAATGAATGTTACAATTGGTAGAGAACTATTGGGTTGTTGTTGTTGTTGTTGTTAGTTGCTGATTCCAACTCATGGCAACCATGTGTGTTAGAGAGTAGACCTGCTGAATGGGTTTGAACCTCCAACCCTTAAGTTCACAGTGACGTGTAAACCATTTGCAACATGTAGGGATCTAAACACTTGGATACCAAACAAAATTGATTTAAAAAGTTTTAAATGTAATCCCCAAATGTGTAATAGAGGATTATTAAAACCGGCACAGACAATAAAACCCACACCAAACCCACTGCCATTGAGCTTCCTGCTCAACGCCGTGAGCACTTGTGAGTCCAGACTGCCTCATCTTTCCTCCAGGAAGGGACTAGTGGCTTTGAACTGCTGACCTT